ATTGCGCCTCAGAAGTGCCAGTTCCTCGTCAGTCATTCCAGACGGAGAGGATTGGGGGAATTCCACGCGTAGGGGAACCACGTTCGTTTCAACCTCTAGGGTTTCGTTGATTGCGTCACCATCCCCTTCATTTGCTTCGTGCTCTTGGTCTTCTTCATCTTCGTCCAAATCTACCACTTCGATACCATCCCTTTCGCCACTATGTGCGTTAGACTCCGTCCCGGCAGTCGAACCATCATTGACGTTTTCCTCGTCATTGGCGTTTTCCTCCTCAGATCCTTCGTCTGCAGATTCTTCGAATCCTTGCCCAGAGTCAGCTTTTTCTTCTTCAGTCTGGGTATCCTTTGGGTCCTCTTGAAGAGTTTCAAGAGGGGACTTTTGAAGAACCCTTTGTGAATCCTCTGCAGACGTTTGAAGTATTGTTTCGTTCACCTCTTTCAGAGGAATGGAGGTACCTTGGTCATCTGGCTGTTCAGAAGTTCCAGCTAAAACCGCCACATTGGAAGAACCTTTGTTTTGGACCAAATTGCTGGAATCTCCTTGAGGAGAGGAGTTAAGCGGAGCAGCAGCTCTGGACGGTGAGGTCGAAATGGTAGAAGTGGGATTCAAGATGTTCTGCAAGGGGCAGCAAAATGTTAAAGAAAACAGTCATCAAGGTAATAAGAAGTTAAACATTTTTAGAAGTAGTTCGATTTACCTGTGGGCCCTCAGAAGAGAGGTTACTAGCTATGCGTTCCAACTGTGGGTTGGAGGTCGAAGGTGGATTTTTGGATTTTGGTAAGGGAGCAGCATCCCTGGAGTCGAGTCCAGAGACGCTAGTCGGAACAGTACTTTTAGGTGTAGCTTTCTTTAGCTTCTTCTTCGAAGCAGTATTTGAGTTTCCTCCAGCAGTGGGATCTTCCCCAGTAGTGCTTGGTTTTCGCTTTTTAGGAGTAGTGGGAGGAAGCTTGTTGGTCTGAACGAATTTTAACGAAGTTAGATATAAAAAGCTTGAGTGAATTCGAAGCATCAAAAAACTAAGTGATTACCGTTGGAATTGGGGCACTTGTTGTTGGCGTTATTGTTGTTGTTGTAGTTGCAGCAGTAGCAGTTGTTTCGAGTGGATTAGCTTTTTCAGTAGTTTCAATGGAGGTCTGAGAGGCACTCCCTTCCTTCGATTTCGAGGCAGCAGTCTTTATCCTGATAGCTGAAAATCAAAACAATTAAGGCAAAGGTTAAAGATATGGAAAATAAAAGACATTTGGGATTGTTCCCAAGCATTCGCACCTGTGCCTTGATCAGATTTAATTGACATGGCAGAAAGGTCATATCAAAGATGTCCTGGGAAATCATGAAGCCAGTGTCGAGCCCATGTCACAGTCTCAGATGGCTTTGGTTTCCTTTGAAGATATTTGAACATCTCTTTGCAAGTAAACCACCATGGATATGGAGGAAACCAAGCCAGAGCCAGTTCTGAGGTAGGTAATCTGGGAAATTTAGGTGGATGCATTTCGAATGCCAACCTATACCTATCCTCAGGTGACAGCCCTGAAGGAAGTTTTAGCTTAGAAACTTTTTGTTTAAATTTTTCCTTCAAGGTCTCAGCTGCTTGATGCACAGTGGAGTCCAAGCGCGTGGGGTCGTAAGTAGTTTCAAAATAATTTTGAAAAGCTTTTATCTCTTTGGCATGAGTAAACATACCTTTCTTTGCTGGTACCTGCACATCGAAGGCATCAATTAGTTTCTGTCGAATTGTAAGTGTATCGAACATGCAAGTTTGATAAAACTTAATCCACCACTCCAGAAATCCTTTAGCCGCGAGATGGGTAGGTTCGAAGGCTATCAGCTCAAATTGGGCAAAGCCTTGATATTGTTCTTGTTGGATCTTGGCTTCCCTTGCCTTGAAAGTTCGACCAGATGTGATGGCGCTCTCAGTCTGGAACAAAGGTTCAGGAATCAGTTGGCATAAGCCAAACTGCCTCGAAACGAAGTTTGGTTGATAGGCAAAAAGGAGAATTTGATTCTTAGCTGGGGTTATCCTCGAAGAGATGAGTCTAGGAAGCAAGAAAGCTCTCCATACATCTTGGATCTCCTTGCTCTTGATGGCTTCTGAGAGAGCCATAGTGAACCAAGAGGGTCCATGAGTCCTCGAAGCAAAAGGCGCCATGCTCTCTTCGAACTTATGCCTTTTGGAGAGGATCATGATGTACTTCGAGAATTGAACCTTGAAGTCATCCTTGTCATCATTAGGAGTTAGTCTTCGAAGCCTAGTGCCTTCGACTATCCTATCACTTATTTCTGAATCTTGCTCGTCTATGGTGTTGGCGGTTGGTAAAGAAGGTTCGAACATGGCGTTTAGCCATAATTGGAGTAACCAAAATGGGCCAGCTAATAGAATGTTTTTAGAGGTGTGGGATTTGAGACTCGAAACGGCTGACCTCAGGCTCTCATAGAGGTCAACTAAGAGTAATTCACTTAGGCACACTTTGCGATTTTCGTGTAAATCCCTAGCTAGAGGAATGAACCTACTAGCTACCTGCAGGGATCTACTGCAGAAAACATACCTAGACAGCCACAGGGTTAAGAATGCAATATGCTCTATGTCAGACACATTATCCCCTTCAGCATGATAATGGCTGATAAATTTGGAAAAGCTGGCTAACTTGACTTCGAAGTCAATTATGCTGGAGTGTTCTTCGTTGTCAGGAACATAAGTTTCTCCCACTGGCGACAGCCCAGTAATAGCCGCTATATCAAAGAAAGTTGGGGTAATCATTCCACCTGGGAGATGGAAAGTGTTGTAGGTACTATCCCAGAAGTAAAGGGACGCGAACAGCAAAGGATGGCTATAGGTGAATCCAGGTTTCGATAGCTTAATGAGGTTATAAATGCCTAGTTCTTCCCATTGCTGGGATTTTTTGGCTTCTACTTTCGCGAACCAATTTTGATAGGCAATATCAGAAGTAGGGCAAGATCTAAATGGTTTAAAATTGCTTTTTACATAATCCAAAACAAATGGGTCCTTGGGAGGAACAGTTGGGGTTTCTGCGGTATTCGAACTGAGGGATTCTACTACCCTAGGGGTCTCCATTTTGTTGAATAAAGGTTTGAAGCTATAACATACGGGAAAAATTGTCCTGGTGTCCTTTAGTATTTCAAAAACTGTAAGAGGACCATTTAAGGCTAACCTCTTACCAGCAACATGGGTAGGGATAAGTACCTGTGATGCGTACAGCATTTCTTTTTCTTTGGAAATCATTTGAGGAGCAAGAGCAGATTGGCCTTGAATGGTGACGATTTTACTCTCCATGGTTGCCCCTGTAGTCTTTCCCTTCTTCTTTGAGACTTTCTTGAGTTGGGAAGAGGTGGAGGAAGACATTTTTGTTGTTTGAGAGCTTAGATTGTTTGTGAGAGAAGAAGAGTAAAAATCCAGAGTATGAAAGATTTAGAGTGTAAAAAGAAAAAGGAAGAGTAAATTAACATTTTATAATGAGAAGATTAAACATCCACCGAGTAAAAGTGTGATACGTGGAGATCATGGGTTGGTGTGATGAAGAGGTGGCGAGAAGTTGATATAGGTAATAGGCGTGATTTGAAAACAATCATTACTTATAACTGCACCACGCTGTGAAGTGACTCTGGGCGGTTAAGGAACTCAAAAGGTGCTATGATTGATGTGACTGGAGTCAAAGGCTTTAAATGTTATGATGATTCGAAAATCCTATCAAAATCTTGTGTAAATGTTTAAAATAGGTATTTCTCAAAGAGATCGAAATACATATTTTAAAGGGGCAATTTGTTGGCTGAAGATTTTGATAATGTTATCTAGAATTCAAAAGAGTTAAAAGTTCTGATCGAAATGGAATTGAACACCATATTTCGAAGTTGCAGAAGCAGTGTTTCGAATGAGTGTGTCAAAGCTTGAAGCTTCGAACGGTGATCATGGAAAAATATCCAAAGAGGTCTCGAAACAACAGCGAGGCTAGGTTTGGGAAGAGCGTTCGAAACAGAAGAACACTAAAGCATTTAAAATTTAAATGGAAGCGGGACTTTCAAAGTTTGAAAGTTATGTGTTGGAGCATTTGGGGACACGTGGAAAGATGAAAGAAGCATTGTCTTGCATGTTCGAAACGTGGCATGATCCTATAGCGAGACCGTTAGGGTCGAATTAGTATAAATAGAAGTCTTAGTATTAGGATTTCGGTGTGTCATATCTGTTATACAAAATACTCAATAACATTCAAACTACCACATGGCAAGGGAAACGAATGCAAGAGAGATGTATGTATGATAGCACCATGTATTTCTAACTTAATGAAAGCCTTTTTACCATTTCCAGTACTTTCCTCTTTTTCTTTTTATCGAATAACATTTACAAGTTTCTTTATTTACTGTCTTTTCATTTCAAAGTCTTTTCCTCAAAGTTTTACGTTTTATTGCTTTCTTTATATTTCGAGCACTTTATATTTCAGAGAAATGTTACGCTTTCAATACCTTTACTTCCAAGTATTGTTTTTCAAACGCATCCTTTTACTTAAAATTGCACTAAACGCTTTCTTCACGTTTTAAACTTCTACATTCCAGAAACCTTTTATGTTAAATGTTTTGCAAATCGAAACCATTTACTTCATTTTTCATACAGTTTTATATGTCTCTTCAATCAGCATTACAATTAGCATTTATTCGTATAACCTAGTTTTCATATACATTTTGACCATATTTTTAAACTCTTAGAGAGAGGGATCGAAATAAACCAAACACTTGTACAATAGCAACCATGAATAATTGTTCGATTGTGAGAGTAACTTTAATATCCAAGGAGTCCTAGGATCAATCTAGTCGATCCTGTGAGTTACCAGAGAGATTGAATAGCGTTAATAAAGATTATTCGATAGTTTGGAAGACTAGCGGTTGTTTACCAGAAATCACTGGAAACAGTTACCTACATGTCCATTGAGATTCCCTCATAGGAAAATCTTCTCTCCTTAGGGTATATCTTGAAGTACTCCTTTTGAATCCTCTCAAAATTTTACCTTAAGGTGTTCTGCTAACCCAACCTGAGGTGCGTACCCACTAATAACATTAAAGGTGTTTTGTCCCACTATAAATTTCAAGACTATGATTTGATCTCCTACTCTTCTTACATCCACAACATCCTTCTTCCACTCCTTATCCACAATAATCTCCACCCCGTTTCTTGATCTAATTTTTCCAGTATACCAAAGCTTTAATCCCGAGTTGTTTAATTCTTTCGCTTTTTCACCTGTCCACTTAGTTTCTTGTAGGCACATAAAATTGATCTTCCTCCTAATCATAACATCCACTATTTTCATAGATTTTCCAGTGAGTGTGCCTATATTCTATGAACCAAAGTGAATCCTCCTTTCATGAACTTGCTTATTTACTCACACACATTCACGAAAATATGGGAGTCCTTGCTTATTTTTCACTACATCCGGGCGATATTGCAGCGACCCTTGCTCTTTTGCCATTGTACTCGAGTCATACAACGCGTTGCTTACGACCAACGGCCTAGCATTCACATTATTACTTAGTTGATCTATGTCATAGAGATTCGACAAAGTTTTACATTGATTGTCGAAAACCTAACACAATCCTCTCCTTTTATCTGGACTTGAGACCGACTAGGAATAGCAAAACTAACTTAAACGAATTATTTAAATGTATTTCAATGTAATAAAAAAATTATTCAATATATATGAAGAAATACATGATAGTAGAGTAACATTTTTTATTGATTTTTATAAGTTTACTGATAAATGTTTAACTCATTTGCATTTTTACAACTTATCGATTTCAGATTTTAATAAGAATATTTACGTCTTCTTTATAAATATGCCTCTTCATTTTCATACCACAAAAAAAATTTCTTTACTAACCATACAAAGTTTTAGTCTTTTGAAACGGGGGATACTAATAAGCATTTGAGAGAACAAGAAGAAAACAACATAGAGAAGGCTATTAATATTATTATATTATACCCTTTTCGTAATAATTTATAAATAAATTTGATTTTTTTAATATATTTAAGAATTAATATATTTAATCATATATAAATCAGATATATTAATTATTAAATGTATTAAAAAAATTAAATTAATTATAAACTATTACAGAGGAAATATAAGAAAATTCGAACTATATATACCAAACAATTCAGCAAATCCTTAGGCTGAGGTCATATAGATTTAGTCTCCTCTCAGTGCATCATGTTAACGAACCCCACGTGAACCCCGCGAAAGAGATAGTTTTAAGATGATAAACTTTAATTTATGCTATTTTTGCAATATGTTTGACATTGCACTTAATGCTAACCTTTTTTCACCTAATCACAAGTTATTATAACATTCAAAGGAAATACTATAGCTAGTGCAAAACAATGTTAATGTTAATATTAAAAGCAAGAAAATATACATGACTTAAAAAGCGAGACAGCTACAGCTTACAGCTGTTAAAATTGGTTCCATCCATTAAATTGACTTATAAACCAAATAATTTAGTGTGAATCGGACTTTAAAATATTTAAAAAAAACACGATTCTATTTTTTAGTCAAGTTTATTGGACTTATATTTTTCATAAGTGGGTTGGACTGAGTTAAACTGTCTTCGAACTGATCTATTAAAAAAACATTTTAGTAAAATTTTAGAGAAAAAATATTGAGATAATATATAATTGTATAAGTGTATTTTCAAGTGATAAAGAAAATTTTAAAATGATGAAGATATATTTTTAAGATGATGTGATTAAAGAAATTATTGTTATATATATATATATATATATATATATATATATATATATATATATATATATATATATATATATATATATATATATATATATATATATATATATATATATATATATATATATATATATATATATATATATATATATATATATATATATATATATATATATATATGGATTTGATTTGATGAATGAATATTTTAAACATCATTTAACTAAAGTTTATGATGACTCTTTATTTATTTTATATAGTTTTATCCATTACATTCTTTATAAAATTAAAACTATAATATTGAAAAATGGGACGGACTGATCCATCAAACTGCACGGATCTTTGAGAAATGAATTGAATTTATTTTTTATAGTCTATTAAACAATCCAGCCAGATCAGATCAATTCATTTAAATATTTTAGTCCACCTAACTAAAATAAATTGAATCAAACCGATCTATTTAACATCTCTAAACACATATCAACATTCAAATTTTAATGACGACGTCCAATTTAATGGATATTTAGGAGCTATAAATTAATTAACTCATAAATGGAGGCATACTTATACTTCATATAATAATATCAAAATAAAATAAAACAAAACCCTTCATCTATTAACTAAAATCAACTACAAATTTATAAATTCCAATTACAAGTCCCACTTTTCTAATATATTGGGACACATCATGTGGATAGATATTTATATATTAATAGCTAACATCATAAGAAAAATATATAGATACTATTACATAACTTAAAACAGTGAACTTTTCTTCCCCTTGTGACTCCTATTTTTGATTGTGCACATCATTTTATTGCAATTGAATTCTCTAGCAACTGCAAAATCATACTATAACGGTTTTATAGTCCTATAATATTGCAGTAGTAAAGAATTCAATGAATTGAAGTAAGAAAAATGTACACCAAGAAAATTTAAATAGGAGTGAAGTAAAACCACATTAGTAATTGTTCCACATATGGGGCATGGCCACTTCAGATAAGTAACTCTCAGAACTTCCTTCACCCAAGCTTGGTGATGAGCCTTTTAGATTTTGATTACTATTATCAAGAGTGTCTCTTTCCATTTTTGAGAGTTGACTCAAAACAGCTTTTAAAACCTTTCTATCACATGACAAAGGATCTAGGCTATAAGGTGCTCCTCCAAATGTAGTTGTTGCATTGTTGTGATTGTTGACTGCGGCTAGTTTTGGTTCCATGTTTGTTGTTGTGTTGTTGAAGAAGGGATTGATTTGGTTTTGAGAGAAAATGGAGAAGCAGGGCACTTGCTCATATTCATCTGTGTGGAATTGAGCTTGGTGATCAAAACTTATGTATGAATCCATTAATGCTGGAAGTGATGAAGAGCCTGTGTCATCATAGCAACTACCCATGCTTGGTTTTGTAGTAACTTCTCTATTTTTGTAGAATACCCTACACAATACCCAATCTTCCTGTATATGTACAAATTATTAAAATCAATTTTCAAATATAAAATTTTAAATAAATTAAGAAACACACAAAATAACGTAACAAATCATATAAATTTTATAGAAGACAATCTTTAAGTACGTGCAAGACAGTTGGCCTCATACATTTTCATGATTAATCTATATTAAAAAGATCATCATATACATACTCTACATATTTTATAGTTAATTTACAGTTAAATAAGATTTCTTAAAATTTTTTACAGTTAAATAAAGTTTTTAAAAAAACTTTATGACTCAACTAAAATTTAGTTCAATTTCTGACATAAAATTTTTCAAAAATTTAAGATGAGTCTAATTTTATATCTCGTTGATTTAATTAGTGGTTGTGTATAGATATGTAAACTTGTAAAAATATAGATTCGAAATAGCCAGATGTCTTTTACCAATAGTTAAATAATAATTTTATAAATTTGTTTTCTTTTATCAATAGTTAAATAATAATTTTATAAATTTGTTTTTGTTAATAATTGATTTGATTTTGTTTTAACAACTATAAAATATTGAACTTATAATGTTGTGACCGACTAACTATCGAATGTTATAAAAAAAAACAAAATTTATCATTTATTTATAAGAAACTTATTTAAATTTATTCGTATGAATTTGATCTAACGCATAAATTATGTGTGCCTAATGAAATTTAAATTTAGCAAAATTTTGAAGAAAATATACTCTTAGAATTTAAGCATTTACCACTAAGTCCACCTTTGATATTGCTACAATGGATTTCCATGATAACACACTCAGGTCATTTTGAAAATAGGAGATTTTGATAATCTTATAGGCTTACATAAGTGTTTAATAAAAAATTCAAATAGGATCTACTTAGGTAAGCTACTCAATATCTTTTTGTAGTCACATTCTAGCCAATAGCCATGTGAGACAAATTTGGTTTGGTATACATAAAAAAATATTCTAAAAAGTCAAAAAGTCCTTAATTCATGCAAGAGAGATAGTATTACAAATCTATTTACCATATATTGCAAAATAAAATGATATATTCTATATATGAGATATTAATACCATACCTTAGAAGAAGAAAATTTGGGAGGACCATGAGGACCTTCAATGCGAAACTCATGCATAACCCATTCAGTTTTTCTTCCTTTTGGTGCCCTTCCTTGATAGAACACTAGGGTTTTTCTCATGCCAACAAGAGTGCCCTTACGAAGGATAGATCTGTCTTTTCCAGTGGCCTTCCAATAGCCCGATGCAGTTGCACGATTTGTGCGTAGTCCTGTTGCATATTTGCGATCTCTTTGGGTATAGAAATACCACTCTTTTCCTCCCACACATGCCGCTTCTGTATCATATTATAATACTTTCATGAATAAATTATATATTATTCTGATACGAAGAATTAATCTCTACTATTACATGCAAAAATAATCGATTTATGAAAAAATATATATATGGTATGTTCATTTTTGTAAGATGTAGAACATGCAATTATAGATCAATAAAAGATGCAAATTAGTTTTTATGTTTAAGTCAACTATGACTAGTTAAAACCAACTGTCCACATTAATAATATTATCATAGGCTAACTTAATCCTTAAATTAAATGCAATTTCATGACTTTTTTCCTTTGTCTTAATTTATTTTTATGTACCAAAAAAAATTTAGAATTTTAATTGTACAAAAAATTTATATGTTTGTTTGTAGTAGAACAGGAAAAGAATATTATATAATTATATTTTTGTTTTTATGATTATAATGCAAATTAGACTAACTTAGATACTATTGTATAGGTCCCATATAGTACATAATTGAAGACTGTTCCATTAATTGTTGATGTATTTTTTAATTTAGCTATCTTTATCAGTTTCTTTTCATTCATGACATGCTTGGATAAAATCCAAAACTAGTTATGGCGATTTCATAATCAAACAGTTAAAATCATTTTCAAAATAATTAAACTTCAACTTGTCCTGGTGCACCATATATCATATCTAGCCTAAAAAATTATTTTTACCTTGTTAATAAAAGTGTTTGTTTGAATTAACAGCTTAATTTCAACTTATAAAAAAGTGTTTATTAAAATAAATATTTATAAATAAAT